GACGGACGACTCCGTAATGTGATGCTGATATGAATGCACGTATAGATATTGGTGCAAATAGCCCGAGTAGCTGAAAGCAGCATTAAAACAAAACAACAGGTGGCTCAGCAGTCGTGATTTGAACCTGCATGTTGCTGGTCGTGATGTTCGAGGCTTATAGGTGTGTGTATGGATGGAGAATCGATGGTGAATCGGTGCGGGTGAGCTATTAGCGAAAATATATCACCTTTCCCAAAACGTGTTACAGATAACAGATATGTTCACTCTGAGAATGTGCTGCAGCTTTTAGGGATCCAGATCATCGCTTCAGAGCATCACCATCACCGATGATAATGACTGTGACTTAGAGATTGATTACAGTGACAAGTGCTATTTCCACTGATTTTGACCCATTGAACTTGTAAACTTCATCAATTTAACATCATGGGGCCAGTGTATGTTCAAAAACCACTTGTACTGGACACATATCAAGTACTGTTGCAGTGTCACCCCTTTCCTGGAAAGGGACACGTGTTATTGCCACACCTTGTCATGGTCTCCCATGCTTCCAACCAACAGAGGAGTAAATTTTATCAATGCAGATTCCTTTTTTTGTCAGGAGATTTCCCGGGGAAAAATATAGATCATTTTTTCAGTTCAAGTATGTTTATTATTTCGCCAAGTAAATAATGGTTAATGAAATATTCTCCACAGTAAGCACTGGAACATGTTGCTTGTTTCAGTTTAAGAAATAAGTGAAAGTATGTTCAATTTAGAACATTCGCCAATTCATTAATTTCATGTTTAATAAAAAATAAACTTAGGACAGTTGGGAAAAAAACACAGGGAAACTTTAGAGTTGAAAGCAAAGAAACACCTGCAATAGTTTTATAATTTCAATATTTTGTGAGGTAAAAAGAAGAGATTGATTTTGGAAAAGACGACTTCCGACAATAAAGAATAAGATGAAGTCGCACAAGATGCGCCGCACGGCAACAAAATTTATTTCATGCGTGGCTTCTCTTGGACACCGTACCCCTGTACAACCCTCGAAAATAGGTCACGTCAGCGCTAGCGACGGGTGGCGCGTTCGCGAGCGCGAGAGCATGGTGAGAGCATCGAAGATCACTCCGTTGGGTCATGGTTAAAGCTGTGGAGGTTATCCAGGTTTGATTGTCGTTTTCAAATTGCCTGTGACTCAAGGAAGGTGATTAGGACATTAGTTGATATCTTGCATTTGTTTGTATTTTTCAAATTAATAGAAAAAGCCTTAATCCCTCGAAAACTGGTCTCTGGTGGATTATCAATACAAGTTAACTTACATGGGTTCGGTCACTTCGCCCCTAACCACATCGCCACTTCACCCCATGGAGGAATGTTCACCCCATGGAGGAATGTTCACCCCATTCCCACTTTGCCCCATTCCCACTTCGCCCCATTTCTACTTCGCTCCATTTCCACTTTGCCCCACCAATTATCGTTCATTCTTTCCTTATTAACAGAGGCATAGGCTTAGATGGAACAAATGAAAACATTGATTGACGTTTGAGTAAGCAAATAACGGTGGGAGAATCCAACTTTCAAAGGCCAAAACAGTGCTTTCGATTTCTTGAACGACCCAAATTTTTTGGCGAGGCCCAAACATTTTTATTGGCAAGTTAGAAAAAACAAATGTAAGATATTTAAGAAAGACAAATAAATAAATCCTAATGCTGTTTCTGTCTTCACAAACACATTTGAACGACATTTTTCTCATTATAATGCTTGTGTTTACATGTTTTCCCATTTACATTTGCGACATTTGAAAAGCGACTTCTGCTAATTTCGTGAGTTCTCTTCGTGTTTTGCTGTCGCTGTGGTAAAAACATGCGAAAGTGCTGGTTCCCGCTGCACCGCACCCATGCGAGAGAATGCGTGATGGAATGTGGCAGCCAGTCTATTCATGCTGGGGCAACCTCATGCAAAAAAAAAAAAGAAAAATTGATGCTGCAAGATTTCTTGAAGTTAATTCACAGAATTTGGTGCCTTGTCAATGTGGGTATTTTCCGTGTTAATGAGTTTAATTTTAGGTTGGTTTGCTAGTACTTGAAGTGAGCATGTTTTAACAAAATTTCCTGTTGCGGTGCTCCGAGTCCAAGGTTTATCCAATTGTTGGGGCACAGCGTTCTGGATACATTGACAATTACCAGAACGATGTGTACAGAATTGTGTATTGCATTGAAATAAACTTGAAGATGATGAGAAATAAACCCTATGCTAGTTCAACAATTATGTATTAATTCACCATGAACAATGCAGTCGACAATAATTATGTGCATGCCGTAGAGTTTTCTATAAACGTGTATAACTCCATCATGATGTCGTTTGTGGAACTCCTTTCTCGACCTTTTTTTGAAGAGGCTTGTAAACACACTCAAGCACGGACAGGGCAAAGTGGAATTGGGGCGAAGTGGGGATGGGGTGATGTGGAAATGGGGCGAAGTGACTGCAAATCCAATACAATATTAATGAGGCTCCTAGCCCACACCGTGACACATGCTAGCGTACATATCATATTCATGGGCTACATACACATACATGTCATATCTAAAATGATACTCGAGTGTGGAAATTTGAGCACAAAGTTGGGCCTTCTCCTGCAGCCAGACCGGCCACCATGTTGTGTTGGAGGTTCCATACATGTACATTGCGTAAAACACTTGTTTTCCTGTGAGAATCTGGAAGCGAGTTTGTCATGTTTGCTGTTTCTCTTACACAGTGGCAGGTGTTAGAGTCTCTGAAATATGATGAAACCACTTTTTAATCTACTTTAGAGGGTATTTTTAAGTTGTCGACACCTTCTTGATGCTACTTGTGTTGACACTTGCTGATAAATAGCATGACCGTCCCTAACGGGTCAAGAGGGTAATTTTTTTTAATCAGGCAGGCCTAGGGCCTAATCATTATTTTTAGGGCTTTGCTGCTTCATAACTGATAACGTACAAGGAAATATCTATCAAAAACCTTGAAACTAATGTGCAAAATTTCGTCAATATGGCGGCAGGCGTGTACGGTACCTGAGGCCTGTGAGTGCCACAGATGGACCTGATGCTTAAACTAAATCCATGCAAAATGTGTAGTCGATATCAGTGTCTTACGTACAGCTGCTGCCTGCCATTCGCGTACATGTGCTACACACTTTTATCGCTGTGCGCAGTTTTTGTGCCAATATCTGTGGTTGTGCAAGTTCAAAAATCATGCGAGTAAATTTCAAATTTGTGCATTTTTAAAGCTTGCGCTGAACATGTACACTAAATTTAGTTTTTTATCTTGTTTCGCTTCATTTCTTTTCCAGCAAATGGCATCCTTCCTTCATGATAGCATACAGGCAGAATTGCTGAAGCATGTCAAATCTGCTTACCAGACTAGCCAAACATGTAAGAAGTTCACTCTTAATTTTGAAACATTTTTAAGAATAAGGCAAACCGTTAGCATCATATTGAAACTATAGTTTCTGAAGACATCACGAAAGTTTGTCCAAACTTGTGAAACCTGTGAACTGACTGTATTTCTTGGGATGACTTTCAGCAGAATGAGTCATCTCGTCCAAGGGAAAAAATTCTTCCTTTGCTCATTGTTTTGGGTAATGCCTTGGGTGATGAACACATTATTATGAAAGCATCACATTATAATTGCATGCTCTTGTGCTGTAAGCAAGATAATGCACGTTATGCCATCCAATTTAGGCTTCCAGAGACATGGTTTTAGTGATGGGCATTTCCATGGTAACGGAATGACATTCTGACCTATTTTGGCACACAGGAAAAGTAATGTGTGATGTCCTCCTTCAAGCACTGATTTTAAGTTGCATTTTATCTTTGGTTAAAATGGTTTGAAATTTATGAATGTCAATGAACTTGGAAATAGGATGACACAAAATATGGTGCCCAAACTTCTATTGTATTTACCCAAAGCAAGTGGTGCGTGTCTATTGTGACTGCCAAGTTTCCAAAGCTTATTGCTTTTTTGGAACAGTTGTGGTTAAAGTACAAAAAAATAGTCTGCATAATTATGCCTTGAACAACAAGTTGAATGACTGTTGTTTGAGATAACTCTATTTTCTTGTTTATCCTTGCAGTACCAGATGATCTCCTTTCAGCGTGAGTATTTGTTTTTTGAACGTTTCCGTTTGCAGTTTGTGTCCTTGCATGGTATGTGTACATGTACCTTCAAGCCTCTGAGTTTTGACACAGACTTTTCTAAGATTTCTTTCTATGGCCATTTTCCAATACTCAACTTCGTCTCTGTTTCAGGCTTCGTTTAGTAAACCAATCCCCAATTACGGGCCTGAAACATTTAAATTAAATTGAAATACTGTAATATTTGGCTCTTTTGCATCTTACTTGATGTTTTGTGGCACTATCAGACTTACTATTGCACTTCCAACCTCAAAGTCAGAAAGTGAAAAAAACAGTTGAAGCCTGAGACGGAGCCCAAGGCGAGTAACGGCCTATGTGAACAGATTGAGAGAGGTCCCACCTAGCACCCTTCCTTCTCTTGCCTTATTATTGCAGGCTGATTATAATAGTGGTACCAGATGAAGTAAAAGTACACAAGTCCAAGTACTTTATTGTTTAATACGGGGGCAATTCAGAATAGTGCGCCTCTAAGAGTTTGCAATGCGTTAGCCAATCACAAAGTGCCAAGTTTGTCCACCCTTTCCAAATGCCCACTGGGTTGACAGATTTCGGGCATTGTGATTGGTCAACGTGTTGCGAACTCTCGGAGGTGCACTATTGTGAATCGCCCGTATTAAACAAGAGTTCTACCAATAATGTTCTCCTGAAAAGTTAGATTACAGCACAGATCATCTGACATTTATATTTTTCTTAATTTGGCCTCAGATCTCATTAAACAAGATCTTTCTACTACCGTTTGCATCTGTTGACTTACCAACTTATAGGACCTGGCCCCTAAAAGGTGATAGGTGGTGCCCTTTTCAGAAACTTCCAGTTCCACCTCCGCTTTTTCATCAGTCCCAGATCATTGCAGGCTGTTCTGCTCTGCTTAACCACAGCAAATTCTTCACTGCTGTGAACAAAGCGTTATTTGATTGGTTGTTCTTCATTCTCCAGTCTACATTTTGTCTACAAGGCTCCCCTGCTGCAGGCCTTAGACCTGGTAGACAACAAGAGTGTAACAAAGCTAACATGCCCCGCTGGTCGCATAGCTTTCCAGGTAAGAGTTGAAGGTAGTTAACCAAAAAATCCCAGGAAACATGTGCGTGTCCAACCATGGAATCTGGTTCTCTCCAAATGCCCTCAAGCTCTGCTGTCATCTTCACGTTAGCCCACGAAGTTAAAACACAACAATCGCTTGAAATACCAGTAATTCCGTGCGAGGGCAGTCACTTTAGTTTAAAACTCTTCCAAACCTGTCATAATCTTGTTTGTACAATAAACATAGGGCATGTAGTCACACTGTTTCATGCTTTCCTGTATTGCTGTTACGCTGTGATTAAATGTGTACAGAAAGTATAAAGCCTTCATGTTGTGTTCACATAGGTTCTTGGGAGCTCAGGCATTCCATACATCTGCCTTCCATCGTCCAACTTTTGCAGCTGTCAGTACTACTCATTCACAGGTGAGATTCAGCTTAGACCTTGCTGCGATTAGCCAAGGCCCTGGGAATTTTTGTTGCTGTGATTTGGAGTCTTACATCTTTTTTTTTTCAGAATTAGTAAGCTGCATGATGTGTGAGCCATGTCTCTGATGATATGGAAAGGATTATCAAAGGGTTGGCGTTTAATCGTACACATTTTGAGATGGTAGCAAATCCTGTGGGTTCGAGTCCCACCCGAGTACGCTGGTGTTTTTTTCCACAAGCCTTCTGGGGCATACACTGAGTGCACAGTGTTAAAATACATGTCAAGCAGGGCAAAAAATGCAAAATTAATTTACATCTCCCCGGCGCAAATCCATCTTTGAAGTAAAATTCCCAGCTATTTCTTACCATTCTGCGTCTCTTCATAAAATGATCTGCACATCTGCATATCGTCCCCGTCTACACAATGCATCAAACATTGCACATGTACAATATCACGAACATCCGGTGTCAACTTTACCATTTACAAGTGTGTGAAAAGCTTCACAATCCAGCGTGTAGTGCATGCCCTACTGTACTCCCCGCTTCCCAAAAAATCATTGACAGTTTTCCCTGGAAAGTAAAACTTGATATTTTGTGTGTTTTTCACAGTTCTGAAGAGAAGCGATGTTGATCTGGTAAGTGTGTGTTTTCAGCTCTGAAAATGAAGGCCATGCTCCAAATTACTTATGTAGCTGCAGCTGGAATGCAAACGCATCTGTGGAAGCTTCCAGCTAGATCCTCATCTGTTTTCCACAGGCTCATTTCTTACTTCCGCTGTAGCAAAGTATCAAAGGTGTAACCCAACAGTGGCATGACAATACTTGCAATGCATGGGCTGTACCAACCAATGAGATTGATTGCTGTCCAGGTCAGGACTGGAGATGGGGAAATGCACTCCTATGGAGAGTGATATCGGTCTGTGCTCTTTATACATGTACATGTATTTACCAGGGAATCTATACAGCATCAGACACATTAGGGATGGGTTGCCTTCTGGTCAGAAAAGAGTTGTTTCTGGTGTGCAGGGTACATTGGTGGATACTCACTGAACTTTTTTCTGCAGAACATCAGACTAGGCATGATAACGGTTTGAAAAGAAATAACGAACAACAATCATATGCAGCAAGGTATGAGACGGAGAGAACCCCCCCTGCTTTGTGTTGGTCATTGTCTCGCAGGAATCTGGGGAATTCCTTTCNCAATGGGTAGATGTGGGTCCAGTCTGAGAGAAACGTGACTCAAGCCCAATGCTAGTCCGAGTCCTAGACATCTGACCCCAGCCCAATGCTAGTCCAAGACATCTGATTCAAGCTCAGTGCTAGTCCGAGTCCTAGACATCTGACTCCAGCCCAATGCTAGTCCAAGTCCAAGACATCTGACTCAAGCCCAGTGCCAGTCCGAGTCCAAGACATCCCTGTAAAACTGCACAACTCTTGTCCAAATCCCTTATCCACAATAGAAGCACTGATACGTGTTCTCGTTTTCAAAATGTGACAGGAATGTCTGAGCCTTATATGCATCCCAATGTATCACTTACTTCCATGACTGTCTTGAACCTGTTCCCCAGTGCAAGCATGCCCTGGCTGTCCTCCTCAGCTGTGCTATGGGGTCGTGTCAGGAACAGCATGTCTCCAATGATCGCATGGCCCAAACTCTGACCCCAGGCCATTTGGAACTTGGAGAGGAACCACCACACCACAGCCACCAACCATGATGTGGCGCGAGAGGACCCAAGAGCAAATCCAACTCCAAAGAGGATTGTCGTCGCAGTCTGGGAATGGAAAGGAGCTGCACATGTTGGCTTATTAGAGGTAGGAGAGAAATGACCTCGTGAACATCAAGAATTAGAAGACCTACCTCATAATGAATAAGCCAGAGCGATGGCCAATCAGAGTTTTGAGATGATTGACATCACAAACATCAAAGGAAACAGATTCACCTGTACAGTCCTTTTTTTCTAGTGTATCGCTGGATCACGTGGGGTGACACTAGAGGGTGTATATTTATGTGGAAAGTTGTTGGATGGTTATTTTTTTTTCCTGTGAAATTTTAATTCTTGCCAGCAAATTTGTACCATCAGCAAAACATGCCTCTGCCAGAGGCCCTGTAATGAACTCTTTAAAGTCACCTTTGCATGTGATTTCTTTGTGTTTTTAATTATGTTGTTTCATTTCAGAGTGAGAAGTACACACAGCTCTTATGTGTACATGCAACAATACTGTATAAGTTTGTCACATTGTATTTACTTATAGAATCAGAAGTTCCATCTTGTGGTAGATTTCAGATGGGGGGTCAGAGGTTAAATTGTAAATGCAGATGAGCATTACTAGAGTAGCCACTAGTCTGATTAGTGTTTTTCAGTCCCCTCTCCCCCAATAATGAAACATGTCCAAAGAAAGCATTAACTGTTCCAATACCAATAATTTGTCAGTTAAAAACCAAAGATGGACTGACTACCACAGGAATCACTTAGCCCAATTTGATTCGTTTGGAAAATTCTCAAGGGAAACATGTACAAAAGCTTCTATTCATTTTGACTGTGAGCTTATGATGACAGGAAACATCAGGGACCTGCGTAGTCAATGTGCAGTCTTGACCATGTCTGATTGGGCCATTTCCATGGGTGCCGGTCACTTTTTGGGGGCATCGTTTGGTCTAGTTGGTGATTATGGCACAATATCTGTGGCCACATAATATCTCAGTGATACCATGCATTAGGTCACCTACGATCACACTCAAATATTATAATAAACACAAGACTTGCATTACAAGTCGGTGCCATTTGCAACATAGGCCTGAGCTATGCTAGCCTGACCCCAATCTAATCAGCATAAATAATAAATTACAGCATGTACTTGAGAACGGCCTCTGTAATGTTTTGACAGTATTTCTGCACACCATCCCAGAGATGTCAACTTGTACAATTTAGGCGTTATTTTTACGCTTTGTTTAGTTCGTTTAGGACTGTACGATCCAGACTAAGATTTTTATGATTTCCAACTCAAAAGGTACAAAACCATACAGTTGTGCATAAACTCTATTTAGGCCAGCACGGAGCCAACCTTGTAATGCGCACGTCAGAAATGTTTCACTGGCATCTGCAGTTGGTGCATACAGGCTGCGCGAGTAGCAGCAGAAACCAGCGTCGTTGAAATGAAGTCAACACATTTTAGAACCCAATTCTTATTGTACCCAAAAAATTATTACAGTGCATCACATTAACTGTTTCTCAGCAACAGAACAATCATGAATAACATGTTAGCAGGTGCACGTAGCGTTACAATTATGAATTAATACAAGTTCGTTTATTGTGACCATTTTCTTTGCAAACACTGCAAGTCACTATCCATTTTGGTGTTCTTTTGAACTGTCCCTGCAAGATGTGTATTCGTTGTCGCTTTGACATGATTTGTAACATGGCAGCGGGACTAAAATTAGTCGCCCTTGGTACCATTTTGTCACGAGATCATTAAGTTTTTCCAATCCTTGCTGGCAGTAATGGGATATATTTCGATGTAGTCGCTTAGCCTCTGGAACATGATACGCCATCACATGCATGTACGGAGTGATGTCCGTACTACAAGTCACTGTATAGAACAGATGCACTCAGTTTTTAGCTGCTTGTTCAAACTGATCTTTTTCTGTTTCTGTCAATTTCTTTCCCATTTCTGCCAACAAGAGTGGAGAGTCTCACCACAGTATTTTCGATTTATCTAGCTTAGGGTGGGATGGAATCAAAGATTCAAGGTCCATACTGCTCAAAATTTTACGGTGTTCTGGTCCTCTGAATGATCTACATTCAACTTTACCGTTGTTGATGAAAAACTTCCAGAAACTTATTCCAGCCTTCCCATTAATGAACTTATGGAATTTGTTAATGTGGATTGAACTCTCCAACTTCTTCGTAATGACAGTGTTTTTTGAAATATTGTTCAGTTTCAATAAAAAGGCTAACAAGTGACCCACTAACTGATCGCTGATTCTCAAACAGAGATGAAGTGAGTCTGGAATGACCCTTTCGATTAGTATAGACAGAAATATTGGATGTTCATTGCAGTTGAATTTTGTGGGATTGGATAGTTTTTCTTTACGCACACAGCAATTTCTTGAACGGTTCTTGCCCTATGCTTAGGATCGGTCATTGACCACACTTTCTTTATATCATGGTGTTGTTCTTTTGTATGTTTACTTGCAAATCCAGCTATTCCCATGTTCTGATTAAGATATTTTTAAATCCCCACCAAAGTACTTCTCAATCTCAATTTCCTGTCCATTAACAGAAATACACCTCACTGTAGATTGTCAGTTTCCTTAATAAGCTCACATAGTGCAGATTTGGTGGATGTGTTATCTTCGCGACATTTCACAATAGCTAAAAGATGATTTCCGTGCTCTGACACAGGTTTCTTCATCGACAAGTGTGTACGACAAATTGATAAATGACTGTTCGCAAGTGACGCGAGTGCCATCTCCACTTATTTTTATCCTAACTTTGCCTTCCTTCACAATGTGTGCTCTTTTTGGGTGCGGCAGTTTTTCAACAAGTGAGCTGGATAGGGAGGTGTACACCCCTGGATATTCTGGGGCGGTCTCGACTATGTTAATTTTCTCGTTGAGTTCTTGACGTCTTTCGATTACTCGGCATGTTTTTGGAAGTTTTGACAATTTAGATGGCGTAAGTTCGTGATAACCCCTGTTTGGAATATTATATTGGTCCAGAATAAAGATCATTTCATCCATGTCATCCTGACAATATTCTTTTACAGTCTTACGCACATGTACATGGTGATACATGTGTTCATGTGTGAGAAGCCAAAGCCAAATGGTCAAAAGGCACAATCTACAGTGCTACATGTACATGACATGTATGTCTAATTTCTACTCTGCCTGTTTATATTAAATTAAGACAAAGCAATCAAGCAAACATATCAACCATGCTTCTCTCACTTTGAATTAGAAAATGCCAAGAAAGTATGTCACCTTGCAACACACCATAGTAAGATGCTTGTACGTAACATATCACATCATACATTATTACACGATTTCATTGAAAGTTGTCACTGCTATTCAGTAGACTTTCCTCAATTTTGCCAAAAATATGAGTTCACTAACAAACCTGTGTTTATTTTGTAATTGACAGTACATGTATCTTACTTCTCATTTCTCAACAGAACCCTGATTAAGACGTCAAGACGGATCAAGATCACTGTTGTTAGCTTTATGTGAAAAACACTGTCTACTACAAATGCAGCATGTTTGTAATCATTACTGCATAATTTTTTACAGTTTTTATACATCAGAACAAAACTGTACACAAGAACTTTTCTGGTCGATATTTCTTGGTCAAGATGTTAATTGTCTTCAAGTGAAGTTTCATCTTAAGTCTTGTCCCCTACATGTACATGTTCATTTAAGGTATTATTTCTAGGTTGCCATCTTTGTAGTCATCGATTAACTCATAAGTGTATACAGCATCGTCATCATAGTAGACAATGTTGAACCAATGTGGGAAGCTTGCCACTTGGCTGACGACTTTGCCTGTGTAGGGAAACCTTTGCCCATCCGAAATGAAAAAGTGATTAACAATTTTACCAACTAACATGAGAATGTTGACAACCTCATCATCCATGGTTGTAGTCTGGGCTGATTCGCCTCCACAACTGATGATGCCACCTCAATAAACTTGTACAAGTGGTTACCCATGGCAGTCCAATCCTTTTTAGTACCTTGGTTGGAAAATTTGAATTTTTTGTCATCTGGCAAATATTGATGCAGCACTTCCCTTCGAAATTTTATTTGATTCTTCCAGGCCTGGTACCTTTCTCTGTCACTTTCGCACTGATCCATTTTATCATCAACCTGCTGGTTTGATTGCCAAAGACCAGCATCAATTATTATGTTGGTCAACTCTTCTTTACATTTCAATTTCAATTTTTGACTCTTTTCTAGTTGATTTTGTTTTTCCTGCTGCTTTTTTACCAGTGCTTCATTCCAAAGTTTATCTCTCTGTTTTGCTTTTTCCTGCAACGTTTTTGTTGTTTTACCTATTACACTGCTTATCATCTCCGCCATCCTTTCCTGACCAAGAGATGAAATAAAATGTGACGTTTTGTTAGATACAAACATAACCTGGGCTTCATTGGCAATTGCAGATGCATTCAGGCGTTTCTTTATCAAGTGATCTTGGTATCCATATATTCTCTCCGGTAGTTTGTTGTGTTTTGGTACTGAGGCAGTCTGTGTTCTGAAAGATGTAGATCTTGTCATTTGTGGTATTTTCCGCCTGGCAAATAATCCGCAGTTACTCTACTGGTTAATTGTTGCCTTGCAATGAGGGTGTGTCGCATCATGCTTAATGTGATGTCATCATTTTGCCATTCCCTTGACAAAGATTCAGACGCTTCATCTTTGACAATCAGACTTTCATCAAAACATGTGCTGCGACATTTGATAAAGTGGACAAGTTATCATCGGAATCAAGGATTTCCTTAAAGAATATGTGCATCTTTGAATAGATGTTGCACATATCAAGTATGTGGCCTTGTGCCTCGGTTACACGCCAGAGTGGGGCAGTGACCATTTTGTTTATAATACCCAATACTTTGCCGCCTGTTAAGTACAAATCCACCTGCACATCTGCATGAACGGCTTTCAGTAACCCATTAGTTTGACCAACAACATTGTGAAGAAAGTCATATATACAATTCCCGAGATGAAACACCTGCCCCCCCCAGCAGAAATACAATATTAAATCTTTTACACTGAAAATTCTGAAAGTATCGCGTTGCTGGCCCTTTCTCCATCATGTATGTTCTCCATGATCGGAAACATCCACTTTTTTCATCGGCTCCCTTAGCTAGAGCCTTGCACGCAGTTCTGACAAGTCTTACTGCACCGCTGTCTGAACCAAAGACCCACACTCCACTGACAGCGTTGGCTCCAACCTTTTTCCCCTCAGGGTACACACTTTCAAAGCCTTTGAAACTCTCGCTGATTGTCTCAGCCATCGAAAGAAGTAGATGAAGGCCACAAAAAAAATTGTTGATCTGTGTGACCTCCTTTGCGGCATTGGTGAAATCCCCCCAGTTTTGGACAACTTTGGGCAGGCACTCTTCCCTATATGACTTGATTAAATCATTAAATTTTGTCTCAGTTGCTGCCCTTTCACACATTGTATTCTTAATCTGTGTCAGAATCTGCATACTGAGATTAGAGCTACAGGTAGAGCTACAGACATACGAACTGTCATCAAGAATCAATTTGAATGTGCTGAGAGTGTCTTCAGCACTTTTTGAAACCATTTCCCTAAGCCCTAATACAAAGGATGACTCAGCTCCAGACACTGTATATGTCATGTAGACATCGCTTTCTTTCGGGGTCTCATCTGTGGCCATGGTGAGGTTGGTTTCCTCCTGAAGCTCCTCCATTGGCGTTGGGAGAGGAGAAGTCGCTCATCGTTCATATGTGCAACCGTTCTACCTGTGGGAAGGCTGCCTACAGTCTTGCCAGCGAGTTCAAGGACAGCCTTTTTAACCTTCGGGACATTTTCAAAGGCTACCTGGGCTGACAAGAGTTTGTACACACATGCCTAAGTCTCTGCAGTATAACATCTGACTCTGTCTTTAGTGGTGGTAAGCATCACAGTCTGGCCGGTTTTCTCTTTCACTTTTTGCAGGAGATCTGCATTTTTCTCCTTTAAGGCCAGAATGGTCTCATGTTGTTGTCCCACCTTTGTTTTGAGCACAGACATTACTTTCTCATTGTCCTTGGCAGTGTCCTGTTGATCTTTCTCTGACTTGGCGGCTTTCAGCAAATCCTTCTCCAAGCTCAGTTTTCGCTTTACAGTTTTTGCTTTGTCCAACTTTTTTCCTGGATGTCTAACCTTTTTTGGAGATCCTTGAAGTTTCTTTTTGTGTATCGATTGCTTTCTTTTGAAATTTTCGCGCCTTGCAATGACTGATACTGTTACGAAATCAAAGAAATGAACACGTTGCAATTGTTCCAAATGAGCTGAACTCCATTGTCATGTTGTTATTTAGACGACAACAGTAGTGTAGCCAAATGAAATTCAGTATTCAACAACTGTGTGATGATGGTCTGAAAAAATAAAATAAAGGAAAATTACATGTAGATATAATCTAGATCGAGGAAAAAAA